ATGCAGGGGCCCCAGGGTCGATCCCTGGTCAGGGAACTAAGAGTTCCCTAAGGGTTCACATGCCACAACAAAAACCTGGCACAGCCAAATAAATAAATTAAAATAAATATTTTAAAAAGAAGAAGAAATGAGAAGCAGAGGATGAGGCTCACCAAGGTCAAGTCACTATGAAGTGGTTGGGTGGAGCTCACACCCAGCCTAAGGCAAAGCCAGGGCTGGCCCAGGACACCTCTACAGGGACCCGCTGCCCGGGAACGCCCCCACCCCCACCCGACACCAGGAGGAGCGGGATGACCACGTAACCCAGCAGCATTAGAGTGCGCTCAAAGGCATTACCTTGCTTAGGGTAGATTAGGTTTGAAGGTTCAAATCAAAAGACCTGGCCATCAAGGCAGGTCAAGCAGGGTCAAGTGTAGAGATGAAGACACAGGAGGAATAGCTGAAGGATTCTTCAGCGTCAAGCGAAGACTTTCTTTCCAATCCCACACTGCCTCCAACTCTGCCTCTGCCCTCTACCCTACTCCCAGCTATGGCTGGAGCTGAGGCCAAGCAGCCTCATCAAACCTTCCCTCCAGACTCTGCCTCAATTTTGTTGAGAGCCCCCTTTCAGGTACAGCCCATCCCAGCCAGCACATTCTACCTCAGATTTCCTCAGACACATATCAAATCTTCAGTCCTTTCACATAAGGAATCCAAGAACCGGGAATCAGAACAGGAAAGCAAGATCCCTGTCAAACTCACCTGTGAAACAGGTACCTCTGTGAAGACTGAGAGCAAGAATGTGGGTGCAGTACACTGAAGCTGCAAAGACCCTTTCTCACATACCCTGGAGTATTCCAGAGGATTCCCAGTCACTTCCTAAGGCGACCTGCAGGTTTTCAATTAGAGTAAGTTTGTCTTCTAAAAGACTAACCTACATTTTCATCAGACAAAAAAAGAGGTCACAAATACAGCCTAGAAAGCAAGGGGAGGGGCAAGAAGCCTGTGGTCTGACATTCCTCTTGACTAAAAAGTCCCACATGATGTTTGCGAAAATCCACAGGTACGCAAGATGTGTCCCCAGCTGGAACTTGTCTCCAATAACAGTCTCACCACCTTCCGCCTCACTGCCACCTCTTCAAGTCCCCTGCCTTTTACCTCCACCTTCTTAACACGTTGCCTTCCTAATTTAAGACAAAGATGTAGCTTTGCACAGCTGGCACATAAAGTAAGTTTCATTAGCTGAACAAATAGCAATCTGAAGCCAGACTGCCTAACTCACCTCCTAAAACAGTTCATATAACTCAAGAGCATCCATTCTAACAACCAACCACATTTAGCTGGCAGCACGGTTCTGTAAGCCTCAAACTATGACACTGCCAACTCGTTCTTCTGGTTCTATGGCACTTCCCAACCTGACAACTATTACAAGGAAATCCCAACGATGCTCTATTACCCCAGGACCACGGCTCATGAAGACCTCACCTACTCCCCTGTTTCATAATCTTCCTAGTTTTCTACAATGAGCATAAATTATCTCAATTATTGGGGGAAATAAATAAGCCCAGGGAAAACAGTCTTGTCCATTCCATTTGATGGCACAGAAACACCCCAAGTCGAAACAGGTAGTTGTGGACACAAGTATTTGAGTTGCAGTCCTGAACTGGACTCAGTGGTAAGATTATAACACTTTTGTGTCTTGGAAACTGACACATTCAAGACTCTGCAGGTCATTTTTCATTCTCTCCCAACAGAACACCAGAAAATGCCAACATTTCAGAAACAGCTTCACCACTCTCCCACTCACGCCCTTCAGGTCCACCTTTCAGTCCTCTGCTGTCCAGGGCCCAAGGAGGTCCTAGCTACGGGGTTCAGTGCGCCCTCATCACACTGGTCCCTGCCTCCCCCTCTTCAGCTGGGTCCCACTGCTCTTATGGTAAATTCCGGACCCTCGCGGTCCTGGAACCTGCCCATGTGTCTCTCTCTGCTCCAACCACACTGATCTTCCTTCAGTCCCAAACACTCTCTGCCAGAAATGCTCTCCCTTTTCTGCTTATTTAGCTCCTACATGTCCTCTGATCCCAGATGAAGGAAGGCCCCCTCGAGTCCTGCTTACCAGTTCACAACATCCTTCTATTCTTGGCCCGTGTTAAGTTTCCTCAAGTTTATGAGATTAGTTACAATTGCTCTCCCATTAATCTCACAGTAAACTCCACTGAGCAGGGAGAGATTCCTAGCACAGTGCGAGAGGCACAGTATGCACTCTGATATTTATTGAATAAATCAATAGAGAAATCACTACTTGCAATGCCACAAAGTCACAAAATAAGTGATGCAAAACAAGTGAGAACTACTTACAAGAGTTGAGAACTGGAGTCTTTTAAATGCTTTATCATTCAATACTGATATTTTAAAGTGTTCTTTCGTTTAAAAAAAAAATTGTAAAACACAGACACCAAAAAGTTTATAAAAACAAAAAACTATTGCCAACCCTAACCCAAAGATTTTGTTGACATCTTGCTACAAATTCTTCCAGGATTTTTTTCTACCAAGAGCAAGCAGCATTATTTCTTTCCTCTCTATCAAAATATAAGATTGTAGGATCTGCCAAATGATACTGCATTAATAGAGATGACTTGACATTTAAAAAAAATGATGTCATCTGAATGGAAATAACAATGCATCCAAATCATTAGTACATTAATCCCATTCTCTACACCACATCCAAGATGACAGGCAATCCTCTGCAAAAACTAGCTTCAGAATTTTGGGGGCAACAGAGGTGATGAAAGATGAAGGGTGGGGGAGTTAGCGAGGAGAGGGTCTAGCAGATTACTCTCAAAATCCCCAATCTAAACCGCTTCCTCCAAAAAAGAGCCAACTTTTCTCAGTTATAGGCTATAGAAGCGAAGCAGTGGGGTGACTCTGTGGCTTGGTTCTTAAAAGTCACCTGGTAATTCTGCTCTCCAAGGACAAAGCAGGGCTAGAAACGGAGTTACCAGATCATCCCCTAACTCCAATCAGAGGTACTGGAGCTTGGACAAGTACATGACTTTGTGCTGTGGGAGCTCCCAGAAGATACACAGTTTGCAAACCGGAGCGTTCCTGGGCTCTGGCGCCCCACCGGGCAGGCGCGAGCCCAGCTCTGCCTCCACTGCTCAGCAGTCGTGGGGAAGCAAGAAGTCCCAGTGATCCCACCTGGAAAATGAGGAGTATACTCTCCCTTCCCAAATCGGATTATTAGTGGCATGAAATAATATGTCTGTGAACTGAGCTTAGCATACAGTGGGCACTCAAATTGGGGCCAGTTTGATCTTTCCTCCACAGCTTGCTGTCAGGCCTAACAAGTTATCAGCACTCTAGTGCCAGCAAACATTTCACGTAAGATTGAAGGCAGGAGGAGAAGGGGACGACAGAGGATAAGATGGTTCGATGGCCTCACCAACTCAGTGGCCATGAATTTGAGCAAGCTCCGGGAGTTGGTGATGGACAGAGAAGCCTGGCATCCACGGGGTCAGAAAGAGTTGGACATCACTGACTGAATTGAACTGAACTTTAAAAGAAAACTTGTAACCCACTACCAGAAGAAAAAGAATATCAACAGGACAGTGGGTGCAAGACTGAAGCAACTGCAGAGAAGGCTGGCTGTCCCTCAGTTTCTCTGTGCTACCACAGCCAGAAGGTGTCACTGTGTGAAATGGACACACAAGAACCATAGACTTAACCAGTACTGTGCACTCCGAGAAAAGTGAAAGAAGTAAAAGGGTAAGGAAGAGAGAAAAATTAAAGGCTCAAGTGACTCACTAGGACTTTGATCTCAAGAATCCAAAGCTCTAAAGATAAGGATGAACCACACACGTAAAGAGGTAGAGTCAGATACACAAAATTAAGCAGTCCCTGCAAAATTCCCAGGGCAAGGGAGAAACGTGCACGCACGTTTCCCAAGTCATTCAGTGCCTAAGGGAGGGGTCCCCATTCATTTCTGGGTCCCAGTGTTTACACACACACCAAGTGTCAGTCACGCTCTAGGCTAGGGCCCTGCCCATAAGCCTTTCCTTGTTGAAGTGATCAATTCCGATTCTTGGCAATAATCCCTTTAAAAGGCCAGCTGCTGCTGTCTAGTCACTGATGCCAACCCTTTCCAGGTGGGAAAAAAGAAAGCAATACAGCCAACACCTAGATGGAGAGGCAAATTTAAAGCATAAGGCCCTGAGAAAGGCCGGAACCCAGAGAGGGGGGAGGGTCCCGTGGCTCCCCGGGGTCAGGCAGGAAGGGCGCGAGCGGGGGGGAGCGCCAGCCCTGCAGGCGTGGGCGCGCGGGGACTCTTATTCTGACACGGGATCCGCAGCCGCCGTCGCCGTCGCCGCGGGGTTCAGCGCCGCGGCCCGGCCTGCCCGCGACCCTCGTCTCCCGCCCGGGACCCCCGCCCCGCGCGCCCACGTGCCACTACCCCCATGCCCGTCCCGGCCGCTCGGAAGCAGCACCTCACGACCTGGCCCCGATTCTGATCCCCAGAAGAAGCGCAAGAGGAAGAGGGGCGACGCCGCGACTTTCTGGGACCCCCGCCCGGCCCGGCCCCCACGTGCCCGGGCGGCGTCGGAGCGCGGAACTTTCCAGGGCAGCGCGAGGAAGACGCTCCCGGAATACAAGGAGTAGAACTCGCTCGCTCTCACTTTTCCACGCTCGCATCGGGGTCCCTCACGGCCCCCCGACCCTCCGACCCTGCCCAGCCCACACCGCCCCGGCCGCTCCAGTCTCCCTCACGCGACCCCGGCCCTGACCCCAGCCCCCGCCCCCCGCCAAGTTTGGTCCGGAACTTACCGGGCCGCGGGCCGGCCGGGCCCCAGGACAGTGAGCGGGATCAAGGGGCCGCGGGGCCGGGGTCAGGGTCGCCTGCGGGGCCGGGCGGCCGAGGGGCTGGGGGCGCTGGGCCGCGCGCGCTCGCTCCGCCAGTGGGGCCGCCCGGGCCCGCGGCGCTCGCTCCGCCGGTCCGCCCGCCCGCCCGCGCCGCCGGCCAGATAATGCGCCCCTCGGCCGCACACATGGAGCCCGGCGCCGGCGTCACCGCCCGGGACATGCGCACCAGGTCAGCGCGCCCGGCCCGCGGCCCCCAAAACACCGGGGAGCTCTTAAAGGCGACGCCGCCCGCCCGCGCCCGGCTGGGCGGGGGCAGGCAGCTGATGGGCGGGGTCTTGTGTTGGTGGGCGGGGTCGGTTGACCGGCACCGCCCCGGAAGCACCGCCCCTCCCGACCGCCCTCCACGGGACGCCCAGCCCCGTGCGCTGGTTTCCCACGAGGGCTCGGGCGGGCTCCTGTAGCAGCGCCGAAGGGTCGTCGCCAGCTCACCCGCGGCACAGCCGAGCGGGCCGCGCCCAGGGCTGACTCACGGCGCGCTCACTGCTGACCTCGCTCCAACTGGGCCGCGAGACATCGAGCAACTTCTGAAAACCGAGGTTAGAATGCCACCCCTGCGGGATTGACACACACAAGTTCCCCTCCAGGGGATCGGCGAAACCATAATTCCTCCAGCTCAGTAAAGAGAGTTCTACAAAGTAAGCGCCTGAGCCACCAACTTAAAAACACTTAAGAGATGACTGCTCTCCCTCTCCAGTTACTTCCCAATCTGCCCCGGCCTTCTAGGAGGTGAAACCTCCCAAGAAACCAAATCTGCGCCCTTCCCTCTGCAGTGACGTGGAGGAAACACGCGAAACAGTCTAACCCGAGAGGATGGGCTTTGGAGATATTCAACTACATAAAGCAAAACACAATTTCAATAGGCAAAATAAAATACCTTGTATTATAAGAAGCTCTCAATATCAAGGTTAGGTCAGGAAGAATCACCAAAAAAGGCCCTTCCCAAGTTATTTTTATGGCATTAATACAAATAATTCATAATGAGACACCTAGATAACACATCCTAATACATATTCATCAAGTGAAACAAAGTTTCACCAAACATACCTTTACCACTTGAAATGTAGTGATATTTTTGTACTTCATTTTTTTAAAGAGAATCAATGTAATTCTGACCCACAACTGGTCTTGACCCCAAACTTTAAAAACACTTAATGTAGAATAAGTTTTACAAATTATAAAGTTTTCTGCCATGTCCCCACCCCCCACCCCCCCCACCCCCCCCCACCCCCCCCCCCCCCCCCCCGCCAACCAATCTCAATAAGAAGTTCAAAAAAGCCCATTTTAATGGTGAGTTCCACACCTAACTGGCAACTTTTTGTTGCTGATTCCACCCCCAACCCAACCCAAAAAATCTTTCAAGGGCTTAAAGCCAACATCTGGTAAGACCTCTCCAAGGCCAAAAGAGAAGCATTCCTCAAACTAAAAATGATACAAGTTGTTGACCCTCAAACACCTTGCCTGACCCAGTTTTATCAGCAATTTGCCTTGCTACAAAGAAATTTAAATGTTCAAATTCAAAAACCAAACAAAAACAGTTTATTCTCAAACAGGTAACTGGGTAGAGGAATGCAGAAAAATCCCTCATCCCAGAGGCAAAGGTAGTTTAAAACAAGTATGATTTTCACTCTAATTTGGCAGCTCTGTATTCTGAGAACTGCTTTACTCAACAATTAGTGAGATGATGTATATTAAAGCAATACAGCTATATTAAAGCAATACAAGCAAAATATTACCTCACTGCTCCTCAACTGGGTCCTGATTAATCCAACTTAATTAACTACAGACACAGCAAAGTATGGTCAGGTGGGAGATCCAAGACTTGAGTCTGACATAGGGATTCCAGAATATGAGTTGGCAAACCCTGTGCAAATCACCCAGGTGACAACCATCCTATTTTAAAGAGGAAGGCATCAGCTGTGACACAGTAATGACACGGCCCCATGCACTGAGATGTGAACTGGTGACAGGTGGTCCTCCAAAGAATAGTGCCAACTTCTCTGGCTGGCAAAGGGTGAAATGGTTTATTTTGTGATAGGAAGAGAGGACCAAGTATGTAGATGGAAAAAGCGATGGTGAATCCAGACCTGTTTGTGGACCCAGATGCTCAGGTGGGTGAATGCTGATGCTGCTTGGCTTTGAGGCCTTGTGCCATTGTACTGGACTAAACAGCAAATAGTTTAGCTGGCTGAACTGAGATTCAGCTGATTAAGAAATATGCTGCAATCACCTTCAGATACCATTCTAAAACAAAGCACTAAGAGACAAGCAGGGCTAGAACTATGTTTCTCTTGAGGTTTTTTCCCTCTGCCCTAAGAACGAGGCAGTCACTTAATACGTATAGATGTCAGTTAACATAAAAACACTTCTGTTTTTAAGTTGAACATTTTTTCTGCCAAATTCACTTCATATCCTTCAGATCAGATCCTTGCCAAGCCTCCTTCCACCCTAACCACTGAAGAAATATTCTAATTATCTCTCTAATGTACTATTAAATAAACTTCCAAACACCATCTGAGCTAAATTCCTGTACAACAGAGGGACTGACGAAAAGAAATTTGGGCCAAATTCCATGTTCGTGTCCTCATTTATAAAGCAGAAATTGGTCAAAGGCTCCAAAGTAGTGTGAAACTGACTGAAAAGGAGTAGCATCACCTACTGAATGTTTAAGGTACTGTACTTTTTGGCTTTTAATCAGAAAATTTCTTTGAAGTTTCTGGTGGACAAAAATTTAAGATGTCTTATCTGATAAATAAGAACTGGATTCTGTAGGCTGGGGGAGCCTAGAGGCACCACCTAAACAAGGTTCAAAGGCTGGTGGCACAGAAAGACACAGAATGATTTCAATGCATAAAATGCCTTCGTAGGAAAGACAGGACTCACAGAGGAAAGGAATGCTCCCCTCTCTGGGGAGGGCTCTGGGAAATCTTTGCGGATGTGACATTTGAGCCAGCTCTTAATGGATGGACATCCTAGGCAACGAGAATAGCAGAGGCAAGGGGCCAGAGCTGGCTACTCCTGGAGTGGCTTTGGCGCAGAAAGGGCTGAAAAGGGGTGGATTCATTATCCTTTATACTTTATAGATGGCTTTCTCTCTCAGAATGCTTAAATTCACAAGCTAAGCAGTCCTAGTTATGAAGACTTTAACCAATTTTTAGATTACTGCTATCAAACAGTGACACTAAGCTCCAACTTGTATTCTAAGAAGCTCTCCAAAGAATAAACAGGTTGTTCATTCAAGTTTAAAAAAAATAGGGACTTCCCTCATGGTCCAATGGCTAAGATGCTGAGCTCCCAATGCAAGGGGCCCGGGTTGGATCCCTGGTCAAGGAACTAGATCCCACATGCTGCAACTAAAGTTTGTGCATGCTGCAACTAACTCCCAGTGCAGCCAAATAAAAAGTTTTTAAAAAAAAAATTTTTAAGGTACCCTTATGACAAAGAGCACTAGACTTCCCTGGTACCCAGTGGTTAAGAATCTACCTGTCAATGCAGGGGACATGGGTTCTATCCCTGGTCCGGGACGATTCCACATGCTGAGGGGCAACTAATCCTGTGCACCACAACTACTGAGGCCCGCAAACCCTACAACCTGTGCTTTGCAACAAGAAAAGCCACCACAATGAGAAGCCAATGCAACACAACTAGAGAGGAGTTAGCTCAACGCAACTAGAAAAAGCCTGCATGCAGCAACAAAGACCCAATGCAGCCAAAAATTAATACATACATACATAAATAGAAATGTGATCATAAAATTTTAAAAAATTATTTAAAAAGAAAGAAAAACATCACTGACTACTTTCCACACTTTGCATTTTTAGTACTCTAAAGTCTAAAACTATTTTCATTGAGTTTAGAGACAATATAACCCCAGTCTCTAAGAGGATTATTTTTAAGTTTCTTATTTCACCCCAAATTCATACTCAGATGGTGAGATTACAAAGCAATTGGGTTGGGAAAGGAAAAGATTTGTTTCTTTGTGAATTTCATCTCCCTAGTACTTTGATATTTTTAGTACCTTTTTCAAGGACCAGAAGAGTTAAAGGGGATGTACTTTAAGAAAAATACAATACTCCCAACACATTACAGCTGCTACAACAAATGTCACTGTTTAAAAACAATCACACTTTTACACTAGATTCGAAGTTTGTGGGAGACATCAGCTCCTGTCTGCCCCATCTCAGGAAAGCTCTCTGAAGTGCAGCTCTCTGGAGATGAGCCACCTTGTCAACATGTGTTTGAGTAGCCTTTCTAACCAAAACTCCGAACACTTAGTGTCAATGCAACATGGAGTTCAGGCTCCATGTGTAGTTAGTCTCTGTGACCTTGACGATATCCCTCTATTACAGGGTTCTGAGTACAAATGCTTCCCTAAAGGGTTAAATACAAACTGCTAAGTAGTACCACTGTGAACCGTGAACCGGAAGTGTATCTCCCACTCTGTCTTCATCTGCATGTGTCACCAGTTGGCAAGGAATATCTCTTTTGTGTCTATACATGGCTGACAAAAAAAAGCACATCTAATTTAGATCTATTTTAAGTCTTTGAAAAGTTAGTCAGTGAACCATGTTTTTATGAATTAAAGAATTGAGGGAGGAAAAAACAGAAGACAACCAGGAAAAAAAAAAAGTGCTATATGACAATCTTAAGTCTAGAAATAAATCTATTCAAACACGCTTAACAAAGAAACTGTTAGTCACATCATTCATCCTTGGATGCTAATAAACATCCTTGGTTTAGACATTTAGAAAAACATATTTTAAAACCTTGGTATCCAGTTCATACCTCTATCTCCAGTTATTAAATGGCAGATCTTCCAACTTGACATAGGAAGGAGAAAAACATTCCTCCCAAAGTTTTCCTAACAGGATGAGTACTTGCCACCTCCACTGGTGCCCAGCATTTTACTATAGAAAATATATGAGATGGGTCTTTCTAGTTTTCTCCCTCACAGCTTGCCCTATTCCATGCTGATCTAGTCAGGCCTACGATATTACCAACTCCTGGTTTGAAAGCAGTAAAATCTTTTCTTCAAATTTGGGTCAAAAATCAACCTTCACCATATGTAAAATAGATAGCCAACGGGAATTTGCTGTACGGCTCAGGAAACTCAAACAGGGGCTCTGTATCAACCTAGAGGGGTGGGATGGGGAGGGAGGTTCAAAACGGAGCGGATAGAGGTATACCTATGACTGGTTCATGTTGAGATTTGACAGAAAACAACAAAATCCTGTAAAGCAATTATCCTTCAATTAAAAAAATAAAATTTAAAAAAATCAACCTTCAGTATGGATACTTTAAGAGGATAAATATAAACTTCAAACCTTTATAAATATAAAATATAAAGCCTAAACCTTGAAAATGTCATGCAAGTTAAAAAACTGTTCTGCATGTTAAGAATTGT